AACTGTAATGGTAAGCTCATCAAGATCTCAATCAGCTGAGAACCATCAAACTTACTTTTGTTATACAAAAACCAGATTATATGTTGGAAATCTCTGCAAAAGGGCAAGACTGGCTCAGCAGTTTGACCTCTTTGAAACAAGGGGATCTTCCAAACAACCTTGCAAAGGTCACACATGCACTTTTGTTAAACAAAACCACATTATATGTTGGAATCTCTGCAAAAGGGCAAGACTGTCTCAGCAGTTTGACCTCTTTGAAACGAGGGGATCTTCCAAACAACCTTGCAAAGGTGTTTCATTGCGTCCAGATGGGTTTACTGTGTTTTGTTTATTCTCGTTTCTGAAATACACCTCTTTTCAGTGTGGTGTATATGCATAATATATGCCTCTGTTTAGTACTGTATAACATTGTAATTGTAAACAATTTTTGCCTTCGCAAAAAAGAAGTGTGAAAATCAGTTAGCAGCTCGTTCCTTGGCGATCCACCGTGTGAGTCTCTGAGGGACATGAGCTAAACTAGAGGCTGCTTAGTAGTTCACAAAACCACGAAATGTAATGGGCCTTTTCCTGGGCCAGATTTCCAGCAGACTGCTGAAAATCTGTTTAGACAGGTACTTGTGCGTAGTAATGGTCCTTAGGCATTGAAATATGTACTTCTGCAAATAATGACCTGGGTCTTGGCCGCGGACGTAATAAAAGTACGCAGCTGGAGGGATAAATATGCAGTTCTAGTGTCCCTTGTTAAATATTTGTCTGTGAAACTGGACCCCAGCAGGAGATGAGGTCTTGTCAGGTACTTTGTGTAACTTTTTTTATTTTATCTGTGCACTTTTTGTATAACTTAAAGAATTAAAGCTGGAGTCTACATAAATAAGCAGAGCCTGGATCCACAGCATTTGGCTGTGTTTTGGCAGCCCAGTTGAGTTACTGGGCAAGGTTGGAGCCCCAGGGCCCTTCGCTAGCTGGGCAGCAAAGCCCTGGTCCCCATCATCCTCTCGCTCTTTCTTTTGGGAGCTGCTCTGAGCGCACCAGGGCTGCTGACCGCCATCCCACCGGGTCACCCCAGTACACACATGCCTGCACTCTCTCTCCTCAGCCCAGGTAGATGGCTGGGTATTTAAATGGGATTAAGCTGCCGCGTAAAAGGGGAAAAGTTGCATTTCAAGTTGTTTAATATTACAGTTATGATAGTTTGCAAAGTCAAAACAATTTTCTCCCAGTCTTCTCTTGGTTTACTTCTCTGTTGGCATACGTACAAATCACAGTTGCCCTTGTCCTGTAAGTCTGGTGTCCTTTTTGATACCCCCTTTTTTCTCTCTGCCCTCCACCTCTTGTTCCTCTACGTTGTTGCTAAATCTTGACATATTTTCTCTGCAGAATTTCCCTTTTGCCATCTTTTTTGCCATCAAAAGCCTTATGAGGAGCGGCTGAGGGA